AAAGCTCTGCCTCTATGCAGAAAGAAGCAGACATCTGTGGTGGCTACTGATTAGGGCACACAGGCAGCAGAGCAGTTGGGAACACCTTCAAGGTTCTCTTTTCCAGGCTCTCACTGCACTAAAATCTAGAGCTCACCCATTCCCAATTCAGTTTCTGCCCACCGTATCCCACGCTGCACTTGTAAACACACAGTAAATGTATCCCTGATTCTGAGACGGGCAGATGCAGCCTTTAAAACCCTGCCTGGGCCTTATCCTGATCTCTGAGCCAGGTGCCCTGAGGGAATACATTCTGAATGAGCTGGTAGGATCTGACTTACTTTAATACTTGAGCAACTGTATTTGGTCCAAACCACTCTCCAATCGATTTCCCCTCTCCAACACCCATCTGTGCTGTTTTTGTGAAGGGGAAAAAAAACAAACCGCAAACACAGAAGAAAAGAGAGATCACAAAGAATCCAATAACAAAAAGTATTCAATGCCATGGTTAAAGAAGAAGTTTTGAGTAACTGCAAACCGTATTTAGCAATAACAATTATTTTCTCAACCTACGCTTTTTTCAAACCCTTCCTGTTGTCAGTTCACGGGACCATAAAGCCACAGAATGCTTGGGTTGGAAGGAACCTTAAAGCCCATCAAGCTCCAAGCTGTGCTGTGGGCTGGCTGCCCTCCCCCCCAGGCCGCTCAGGGCCCCATCCAGTGTGGCCTTGGGCACCTCCAGGGATGGGGCACCCACAGCTCTGAGCAGCAGTGGCAGGGCCTCACCGCCCTCTCAGAATGAAGAATTCCAGTTTAAAGCCATTCCCTGTTCCAACTATCAGCCGTCACCCTCCTGCTTACAAGCTCCCTTCAAGTACTGGCAGTTCCTTTAATAAAGTTTCTGAACAACAGTAAGATTTACAAATAATTATTACAAATTATTACAGATTACATCAATAAGCTCCATAACTGTCTATTCTAATATTACTGACCCTGGTACCCAAGGCTTACATAGTTTATCAGGGGACAGATTCTAGCATGTGCATTTATTTAGTCTCAGTGAATTGCATTTCTGTGCTATTATACCCCATAGCCATCTACATGCATTTTTATATCTGAATACACACTGCCTTCATAACCACCACTTAGAGTTATGAATTAACAGATTTCAAATTACTAAGTTTCAGTACAGTAGGAATTTCAGTAGAAAAAGAAACAGAAAGTCTGTTCTCACCCATCTGGTGGATGGAATAACAGCAATCCTTCCTGTCTAGAAAGCATCGGAGGATTCTGTGATATTCTTCTGGTTGTTCTTTGTGTTTTTCCCATTGCCAGTCTGAGAGGAAACACAAAGATTAAAAAACCAAAATTTTCCATTATCCTGATCAAATTTCTGGAGAGTAGTGAGCCACAAAGCCAGGTGGTACAAGAGTAATCCATGAGGGCTGCTCTGAAAGCAACGCCTCCCATTTTATGATGTCAGACTTGGTGATCTGAGAGGTTTTCTCCAACCTTAATGATTCCATGATTCCCACCAATATCCCATTCCATTTTGCTGCCGTGTGACAGCATGGCATCTGACTTGGAAGTGAGGATGAAGCAAAGGGGTGGGACTGAATTCTTCCATGCAGAAAAAAATGGCATCCAGTCATTCATTGAGACTTGCTGAATGTCTCTGGAGACCAAACAGTGGGTGTGAGCACACCACGTGGAAACAAACAGGAGGCATTACTTTCAGAGCAACCTGCATACAATTCATCTCTAAAATTTACATTTTGTTGAGTGTCTAGAACTCACACTTTGCTATTTCCTTTAAGCTGTCCTTTATCATCATAGGCTAAATGGCAAAGATGTCATCAACTGCAGACTTATTCTGACTGATGGCTGCTGAGCACTGAGAGCTACTGCTGTACTACTGCTCACAGTACCTGTGAGCTTCCAAGGTAATTTAAAACCACGTGCTCTATTTAAATCTTGTGAGATTTGTAGACATACATCAAATAACAATACAAGGTCCATACTGGAAAGTCCCCTCACACAGCAAATCCACAACAGCTCTGCCATGTCTGCTTCTGCCTCTAATAGGGGCAGTTTCCTTAGTTAAGGAGAGCAGCAGGATTCCCTGTCTGTTCTCTCTATTTCCCTGCTTAAAGCTGCTATGATTTCACCCAGTCAGACAAGACTAATTCATCAGTAACTTTTATCAAAGCATCAAATAAGGTCTCATTAATAAATCTGGGTTTTGTGCTTTTATGGAATACTACACACACACGCACTGAAGGAACGTGGTCTCCAGACAATACAGATGTTCACTCAGAAGCAGTACACACCTCTTCCTAAATGCCTGCAGATCAGTGCCTGTGCCAGCATCATCTGCCCACATCTCAGCATACATCCCCAGCCAGCGTCAGACGAAGGACCGGTGCCTCCTATTAGGAAGGTTCATCACAATTAATACGGGCTTTGAACTGGAGGCAGAACCACAGAGAAACTGTCAGAGTGTAAGAGCCCAGTTAGGTCTGCTGAAATGTGCAGTAACTGTCCTGTGGATGCAATGCTTTTATTTCCACACTGCTGCTCTAATCTCTATGCAGCACAAGTAAGGTTTATGTACTCCTTGTGGAGCTGACTTACTCTGCATTCTTCAACAACACTCACAGATATGCACTGCGTGCTGTACAAACACGAGCACCTGATTACGTGCAGGTGTAAGCGCACCTAGATTTTAATAACTTCAATATGCTGTTTGAATAAACAATTACAACAGTGCTTAAAATGTAATAATGTAAAAATCATTTGTCAGTCCATGAGGCCATCCCTACTCCTGCTATTTAATTTTAATGAGGCAACAGGTCTGCAGTATACTCACCAATAGGAGAAAACTTCCTTCTATACGTAAACCAGAGACGAGCACTGACATCCAACAGTAACTTAGATTTGTCTGGAATGTTTTTAAAAGGAAAGAAATAAACTTTTAGAACCGGAGAATTCCAGTCATTCCTACATAGCCTATATAAAGTGTTCACAGACGACTCCTGTTAACTTCTACATATAAGGTCTTTAATACTTAGATGCTTTTTTAGCCTTTTAAACCTGAGAACTTTTGTAGACTTTTAATTAAAGTTGGATTGTTAAGAATGAAATAATTACCAGGCAATGAAGTTGTAAAAGGTGTTTGGAATGATTCTGTCTAGCTTGAATGAAATGCTATGGAGAACTACGTCCTTAGGAAAGAACTGGTAAAGCAAGTTAAGGTGAAGAATTTCTACGTGCCAAACAGCATAGAATTATGCATCACTTCTAAACCCAATACACTGTTATTTCTTGAAAGTCCCACCTGACTTAATTCTTTCTTGTCTCTTCTTTTTTTCTTTTTTCTTTTTTTTTTTTTTTAAATATACACTTACAGAATTCTCCCAAAGGCTCACAAAGATTTCTTAAGCTCTTACCTGCTGCTTTCTCTCTGAGCTGTGCTCAGACCCACTGGCCTTTCAAAGGATCTCTCAGCCCACCAAGGCTGAGCACAGGACCCTTGGCTGTCCCAATACCACGGCTGCAATAACAGCTGCTACCACTGACATGTAACACAGGGTTACGCCCTTGTCCCGTCCCCAAGGAGCAAAACTCAGTTCGGAATCATATACAATCGCTAAAGCTAACGTTGCTTTTCACCAAATCACAGCACACGCCTCAGATTATTATTTTTTATTGTGCTGATGATTTTGAAATCTCACTTTACAGCTGACAGACAGCTGCCTCGAGGGTAAATAACATCAGCAATACCAACCATTCCCTGCAGATTTGTTTTAATTTCTGAAGTGCCTGGTGATGGGCAGGGACCAAACTCACACCTCCGCCAGTCATGCAGTCTCTGCACCAGCAGTGACAGACAGCGACACGGGGTTTCGTTCAGGTCCGAGTACCACTACCTACAGCTGGGGGTTTTGTTTCCAGGGAGGAGCTGCTGCTGCACCACAACCAGCATGTCACAGAAGAGTCTTCACGTTAGAGATACCTTCATTCAGGTGGTGCCGCCTTCCCAGAATCCACACCGGCTCATCGGTGTCGGGAAATTCTTCTAAGTATTCCGACAGAATAGTGATCTGGTTTTCATACCTGGACAGAACTGAGTACAACAGGGCAGCTCAGCCCCCGCCCCGCTCCGACAGCACGACATGGCTGCCGCCGCACGCCCCGGCTGCGGAGGGAGGGAGGGGAGGAGGGTCTGCCTGCGTCACGGGCTAACGGTAATTAATACCGATTAGAGAAGGAAGTCCGATCGCTGCAGGGTTTTGGTTTTTTTTTTTCTTTTTCTTTCATGACTAAAGCGGGGCTCGTTGGAAGAGTAAAAATGCCCCTCGGTCGTTGTCTTTCTGACGTCAACCTGAAGAAACAGCGCCGACCGCAAGCGTGAAGCCGAAGCAGACGCGATCCTACGCCGCTCCTCACGCAGGAAGAACGACGGCGCCGCGTGAGAGCGGCACAGCGCCCGCAGCTGCCACACAGCCGCCCCGCCCGCACGGCTGGACGGCAGCTCCCGGATCCTCCCGGCAAGCCCTCGCGGACCGCGCTTCCCGGAGCCGACGGCGCCGTACCCGGCTCCCGCCCCGGCCGGAAGGCCCCGACGTCCCGCCCCGAGCCCCGAGGCGCGGGCCTCGCGCCGAGGCCGGCTGGGTTTACCTCAGCGATCCCGCTGCGCGCGGCTCGCCCCGATCCCGCCGCTTCCCCTCGCCCCGCGGCCCCGTCCCGCCGCCCCTCACCTGACTCCATCCTCCCGCCGTCACCATCCTCCTCCTCGGCCCGACGCGGAGGTCCGACGCGGAGGCCGCGCGGGGCGCTCCGGGAGCTGTAGTTCCGCCGCAGAATGGCGGCGCGCCGCGTCCCGCCAGGCGGACTACAAATCCCGGCAATCCCCGCGGCGCAGAGGCGGCCTACGGACGCGATCGGCGGATTCGGCACGGCGCCCCGCTGATTGGCCAGCCCGCGGGGTGGGGCGCCGCCCTGTCGGTGGGGCGGGCTGCCGGCCGGCATGGAGGGCGCGGTGTCCAACGTCGAGGTCTGCAACCTGGCCTACGCCGGGCGCCTGGAGGAGCTGCGCGCCCAGCTGCTGCGTGACAGGGCCCTGGCCACCGCCACCGACCAGGTCAGCCGGTCGAGCGCGCCGCGGCGGGGGCGGGTCCCCTCAGGGCAACCGCGCGGCCCGGGGCCCGCTGACCGCCTCTCCCTCTCCACAGGACCGCCGCACCGCGCTGCACTGGGCCTGTTCGGCGGGACGCACGGCCGTGGCGGATCTCCTGCTGGGGCTCGGCGTGCCCGTCGGCGAGAAGGACGACGTGAGTGAGGCGGCCCGGGGCAAAAATTTGGATACGATTTTCAGCCATTTCTGTTGTTCTTAAAAAAATCTTCTGTAAGTGCTGCTGTTGGTGCTGGAGGTGCCCTGCGGTGCCGCGCGCAGCTGAGCTAAGTGGTTTCTGCTGCGCGGCTGCGGCTTCTGTCGGGGCTGAGTGCGGAGCTGTGAGCGGGCCTATGACTTGTCTGTCTGCCGACAGTAATGCCAAGTGCTACAGCTAGGTGCGGTGTGACGAGTGAGCAGTCTGCTCTGCACTGGGATTATGTTTTCTTGTGTGACGTCTTTGCTGTTATAACTTCTGTGCTTGCCTCTGCAGGCTGGTTGGACTCCCTTGCACATTGCTGCATCGGCGGGCCGCGATGAGATCGTGAAGGCCCTCATTGACAAAGGGGCTCCCATCAATGCTGTCAATCAGAACGGCTGCACGCCCCTGCACTACGCAGCCTCCAAAAATAAGCAGGAGGTATGGCTGCCGGTGCTGCTGGAGTTGGTGTTGCCGTCAGAAAAAGTGTTTGGTTATATGAACTTTTCTTCAGTTTTTTTCCCCTTTTTCTCTTCCTATGCCTTCAGATTGCAGTCATGCTGTTAGAGAATGGAGCTGATCCAGATGCAACAGATCATTTTGAATCTACCCCATTGCATAGAGCAGCAGCGAAAGGCAACCTAAAAATGATACAGATTCTTCTGCGGCACAATGCATCTGTTAACATACAGGACTCAGAAGGGAACACTCCCCTGTAAGTGATTTTGTTTATTTGTTGGTTTGGGGTTTCTTTATGTTTGGTTTGGGTATAGCATAATTTCCATGAAATGAAGCTCCATCACTTCAAATTTGCTTTTTAACTTTAGGAAGCCTCAGAATACTTCTTTGTGTCACATCCCCGTGTAATTTAAAAAGATTTTAGAAAATAATAATTAGTGTTTTGCATAAGTGTGTCTGTACATCCATACTTTAGTTACTACATCTATTATAAAATATAGAACACCTTTTGTAATAACTTGGAATGCATTCCATTTCCACTAGGGGGTAGAAAGCGTGCTAATAACATCAAAGTCATAAGGAACTGGTCTTGTAGGCTGCCTGCTCTGGCCTGCCAAGTAAGAACTAATTTTGGAAATTTTCCTCACTTCTCTATGGAAAATGACATGCAATTTAAGTATAACCAGTCCAATGTTTGTTATTGCCTCAGAGAGCAGTTTGAATCTGTAAGAGTGAAACCTTAGCTGCTTTGAAGTTGGTGTCAGAAACCTGTCTTGTTGCATTGGAATCAAGATTTTGCCATGAATAAGATTGAGCAGGGTATTTTTGCTATACATAAAACACAGTTTATTGTAGAACATATGCATTTATTTTCAGGGTAGGATGCTAAATTAAAAAAAAAGCACTTGCTGTGTCTACAGTAATTCTTTACGATTTATTTTATTGCTTTTGATTCAAATAGAGATTACTGTTTTCCAATTTCACAGAATTGAATCACAGAATTGTAGGGGTTGGAAGGGACCTCCAGAGATCGAGTCCAACCCCCAATTTCACTATGGATTTTGTGCTCCTTATCTTTGCTGACTGCAGAGCAAGGCTTTGAAGTCTTTGTAGGTGGTCGATCATATGTGGTTTTGTTTTTCTAGGATTCTCCCCTCGTTCCCCACAACATTCTTGTTTTGCTCTTGTTTTGACAAGGCGTAATTATTGCTCTTCATAAGCTTGGACTACTTAAAAGTGGCTGTGGGTTTCTTGTTTTTATTGCAGTCATTTAGCCTGCGATGAAGAGAGAGTGGATGAGGCAAAGCTGCTGGTGTCTAATGGTGCAAGTATTCACATTGAGAATAAAGAAGAGCTGACCCCACTGAAAGTGGCAAAGGGTGGCCTGGGAGCCATACTTAAAAGAATGGCGGAGGGCTAGTGGGGCCTTCTGGCCTGGCTGTCTCCTCTTTTGTGCTTTGTTTAAGATTGCCAACCTCGTATTTCTATAGTTCAACAAGGATGTCATATGTGAGCATCAGCATGGTACTCAACTGTCTTCTCTCTAGGTTTGCTCAAAGTATACTGCCAGTCATTTGTACTTCCTGTTGATTAAACAGTTTACTACTTTTGATGTATTTTTGATATCTTGTTTTGTTTCAGTTCACTGTATGATCTGTATACTTTAGGTTATTCCTTCTGTGTTGCAGTCCAGTTTAGGATTATTTCTTTCAAACAACTTTGGGAGTCTCAAAATGGTATTCTTGCTCTCTGTACTTCAGGTAATAATTTCAGGGATAAAGTGTGATTGTAAGGTGATTTCCTGCTGAATTCTTAAAAAATGCAAAGCAAGCATCTTTACCTGTAGGATATTAAAAACAAACAAACAAACTAGCAACTTCTGTGATGATTGCAATTATGTAAGGGTTTGTTTGGCCAGGAGAGGATTAAAGACATCCTCTGCTTTTTAATAGGGATCATTGAGAACTTCTGTGGGCTTGTCACTAACTCATTTGTCCCTTAATTTTGTACAGGTAATCCCTGATTGAATTGATGTGGGGGAGGTTGGGATTTTCTTTTCTTGTGTGTCGCTTTTTCATGTGATTGGCATTAAATTCAGTATTTGAGCATTTAGCAATAGAGGTGAGAACACTTACTGCAAAATAAAAGAAGCTGGCTGGACAGCTGGACCCAGAGGGCAGTGAACGGAGTTAAATCCAGCCGGCAGCTGGTCATGAGTGGTGTTTCCCAGAGTCGGTAGCAGGGCTGGCCCTGTGTAATATCTTTGTTGATGATCTGAACGAGGGGTTGGGGTGCACCTCCAGTGAGTCTGTGAGTGACACCAAGTTGGGAGGAATTGTGGATCTGCCTGAGAGTAGGAAGACTACGGCGGGATCTGGACAGGCTGATCACTGGGCTGAGGCCAATTGTATGTGCTTTAACAAGACCAAGTGCTGTGTCCTACATGTTGGCCACAACAGTCCCATGCAGTGCTACAGGCTTGGGGCAGACTGGCTGGAAAACTGCACAGACAGAAAAGATCTGGGCTTCAGCATCCTGTTCTGACGTTGGTAAGATCTGCTGTAGCACTGGTGGGTGAGTTTCTGAACAAATCATGCTGATGAAGTTCTATGAAATAAAGACACTGTCTTAAAGAGCAATCTTTGATGTTATAAAACTTTATTAAACTTGTGTAACAAAACCAATATTTCCAAAATAGCTTTTGTGCATGGGACAAAATGAGCAAGTCAGCTGAAAGCCTGCCATCTCTTCGACAGTATGGAGATAGAACGGGGTGTTTTGTTTTTTCTCAGCTGCAAGGAAGTGCTGAAGCAGAAGGTGACAGTTCCTACAGTCTACTTGATAGGAATTAAGTTCTTGCACTTCATTTTGATGAGTAGGACAGAAACTTAAAACTAAAGAGGTATCCTTACCAATTACTTACTCTATCTTAGAAAGAAAAATGCAGGTTAAATTTCATTGAGAATACCAGGTGTGAGCAGTGGCAGAAGCTTGCTTTTACAGTAACCCCTGGCTCTGCAGGCCTTGTTAGAAGCAGAAACTTGACTGAGTAAATGTTTCTTACGTGTTATGCAGATGCTGCTGAAAACTTGAATTGAGAAAAGCTGAAGATACAGTTCTGTGTTGGTCCTTGATCTTTGTATAGAAAAGAAATAAAGAAAAACATCTAAAACTGCCCCAGTTCTGTAGCTCTGTAAATCCACATCCCTGGATGATGACTCGAATGTTGGCTTAGTAACTGCTTTCCTTGGCAATGATCCCTCCTCCCTCAGGACGAGATAAATGGTCCATGCAGGAAAGACTTTCGGAACATCCAAGGCAAATTCTGGAAGACTGCATTCTGCATAGCTCTGCAGGGTTTTTGAGCTACATGCCATATAGCATCAGTATCTAATTTGGCTTGAGCTTTGCCAAAAGTATCACTGGAAAGCTACAGGCAGTGCCTTGTTCTTTATTATAAGTTATTTTACACAAGAGAAACTTCATAATGAGGACAAACATCTGCGAGAAAGCTTCAGAAACATTTCTGTATTAGGAAACCCCAAACAAATGTATTTGTTATTTTCCTTAGCCCCAGCAATCTGTTCTGCTTTTTTCCGTTTGTTTCTTTGGGTTTTTGTTTTGTTGGATTGTTTTTTAACTATTGCAGTGTGCTGGGTAGAAGTAAGGGAGGGGTCGTTCATCAAGACCTTCCGTCCTTTGTTTTAGATAAAGCATTAACATAACTTGAGCAAGTTCTACTTTTTAGCAAATGCAGTGGTCTAGGAAGTCTGCAATTACATTGTACAGCTAATACAGAGTCACCAGAATAAGCTCCTGGTGTACTCTGGTGAGTTGTATGAGGAATAAATGCAGAGAAATGTGTAGAGATGAGGAAAACTGATGATACTGGCCACATAATATATTTCCCCTCTTTTGCCCATGCAATCACATTGGTATCATGGAGACCTGAAATGTATACGAATAACAAAAATATAATTGACACGATGCAGGAGGTTACTTTAGAACTAGCACAGCTATGAAGAGAGTTGTGTGTATTCGTCCATGAAAGACAAGAGTAGAAAAAGGCCTTTGAGCATCTGAGGAAAAGCTATTCAAAATCAATGCTAGCATCAGCCAAGGAACGAGCTTCCTTGGACCAATCATTCATTTGAATTACCTCATTACGCATCATTATTGGTAAGAAATGGCACCCACGTGGCACTCCTGCTGTTACTGGTCATGCTCAGTGACAGGTTGTTGCATGCCTATGAAACTATGCGGCTGCGAATCTAAAAAATACTAATGAAGCCTCTAAAGCTAATTGCATGGTTAGAGTTTGCAGATTTTGCATAGTAAAATCTGAGATTTAATAAAAGATGCACCTGATTAAGAAGAAGCATATGTACAGGTTGTGACTTAGGCTGGGTATTTTGGAGAGAAATGAGGGTATAGATCCGCTTATAGAATGAGGCAGTGTTGGTGTGAGTAGGGGTTTGGTGTGTGTTATATCAGGAGCAGTTCTTAGCCAAAAGAGTGTTAGCAGAATATTGTAAGTGCTTTCATCCTCTAGAATGAGGCTAAAGACTGGAACACACGTATCTTGAAAGCTACAGAACTGTGTGGAAAGAACAATGAATACAGTTACGTTTTATGATTCAACCTGAATCTTCAGCAGGACCTCATGCCTTACATGTTGGTGAAGGTACTTAGCTGTAGCAACTAAAAAGGAAAATTTTAGCATAGTTGTCTCTGTCTCATCTATTTGAAAGATGAATGAGGCATATAACTAATGGTTACAGGCTAGGAACAGTCACCAAAGGATTTATGAATAATAGATCCAATAGGAGACTTAAATTCCCAAACACAGCAGATCCTCAGTCAGATACGTTTCTCTGCAGTGCACAAGACTGAAAGCAGCGTCTCCTTATTTCCAGGAGTATCTGCTTCATGTCGAACATGAGGGAGCTGCTGAGTCTGAGTGTCTGTTCCTTGAACAAACCTGAACCGGAATCCCTTTGTCCTCCAGCTCTTCTGAAAGCAGAAATGGACAAAGTTATACTGGGCTAAAGAGATCAGAAGAGTAGTAGCGTGACTTTGTTGTTAAGTCATATCAGGCAGAGGAAGCTGATGTGTTTATAGCTGGCAGTATTCATTTCTGAGGTTTGAAAGCAGATACATCTGCTTTTGAAGGGGAATCTGCTGCCCTGTGTGCCTAGATTTGATAAAGGATCTGAGTTTCCAGCTCCCATTGTCTGGAAACCAGTTGGCTGAGGTCTGAAGTAGGTACCCAATTGCTAACTCCATTAAACTGAAAACCAGAACTGCTGAAAAGCACAGCTCAGGAACACTGATGTCTCGGGAACCTTAAAGTCAGAAGGTCATTGCTAACATAGTAGTACCCCATGTTTGGTAACAGAGTAAAAGTTTCCCTGCCTTCTATTTATTTATTTTTTTTAAAGTTCATGTGGAATTCAGACTTAGAAGATTTCAGTGGTTCAAGTCTTTAAATCTGTTTTTGCACTCTGATGAAGCTTGATTGTACTTCTGAAGTACAAAACCAGATCTTTTAAACACAGCAAGGTAATGGCCGTGATGGTGGATCTCAGTGCACAGGAAACGCTGTGTGGAGAAGGCTGCTGTGATTCAGAACTGCATGGACACACACAGCTTTCTTTTAATTGACTGGGAAGTTCTTACTTTCTCCAAAGATTGTGATGCTTTCTGATTATCTTTGCAAACTAGATTGGATGATTGCAGATGGTAGCCTTTTTATAATTACATTTATGTTTAACTAGATAATAAGTTAAATGTGGTTAACCTTAAAGGCCAAATCTGCTATTCACGAAGTACGTCTGTAACATCATTTTCAATCTCCAGTCCAGTGGTTCACAATACAAATGAGTTTAGCTACAATGCTATGTTAATTCAGTGATGTTTTTTGTTGTTTTTTTTTAATAATGTGATCCAAAGCCAATGAGGAAAACAGTATTAAAATGAACTTTAGGCTGTTTCTTCTTGATGCATTTCATGCTTCTCATCATTATCTGGTGTTTCAGACGCTGCTGCTTCATCAGCACTAGGTTGCTCACTTGTCGCATTGCTTGGTAGAACTGTGGTTGCAGGTGTATTTTCTTCATTAGGTACCTGAGCATACTCTGCATTGGAATGTTTCTGAGCCATTACTCTGCAGGAAGACAGGAGGAAGATTGTGATTTCATACATTGATGTCCTGCCTACTCTAGAGTCTTTTGAAAGAATGAATCTTTGTAGCTTTTTCATCTGAACAGTAGCCCCCATATTATTATTATTCTGTCATGAAAGCACCTGAGAAACTATAAAATCACTGCAAAGACTGACAGTTCTAGTGGTCTGCATCACTAGTTTTAACAGCTATACTATTAGAAAAAAGTAATAATTTTTTATGTGTTTAACTGCCAGGTCATGAAGGGAGAATGAGAAACTGAATGCTGTTGGGCAGTATCTGAGAAAGGACAGCAAAACATACTGGTTAATGTGAGCTTTCAGGGAAATTGCATGCAGATCTGGGGTTCCTTTGAAATGCATAAAAATAGGGCGCAGTCAGAAAAAAGCTTTGAAGAGACTGACATCTAGAAAAATATTTTTAGTAACAAATGAATTCCATTCATCTCATCAAAACAATACAACTTTCAATGTTGAAGTACTTTCACATGTAAAAAACATTAGATATGAGTGGATTAATTCCACATAGTGAGATAGAGTAGAATCCAAGCACAAACCTATATGTTAAAGCAGCTTCAGTTCAAAGCAGAAATGATGTACATGAGTGAGCAACTGGCCACTGGTCTGGGTTAGCACCAGTCCCTTCAGGAAGTCTGAGAGCTCTGCTCCAGGGCAGCGTCCAGATGACAATCTTTTCAGGCTCAGCTGTGTGTTTAGCATTTAACATCATGGGGCTACATGCAGCTCGTGTAGCATATGAAATTATCTTTATCCTGAAGATTTGGCAATTCAAGAGGCAAATGAGTGACCAAAGCACGGGAAAAATCAGCTCCAGGGCAGGATCAAAATGGACATTTTGTGCTCCATTCTGTTCGTAAATCTTTGTGTCTGCTTCCATTTGAGTATCTCCTTAGAGCATCTTCAGCATGTGTCCCATAGCCCATGCTCACATCTAGTTGTCAGTCAGTTAGTTTGCTGAGGAAACCCTTAGCTGCTATTCCTTTTTTATTATTTCATCCACGCACTATTAACAACCACCATTTACTTTTACATTTTAAACACCATTTTTCCAAATTTTTCAACTTGTCTTGTTTAAAAACTTCTAAATCACTATTTTAGGAACTGCTATATGGTAACTGCATGTAAACAAGGAAGAGGGTAATGGTAACCTGTGTTACAAGAGCAACAGTTTAAAAGTCAAAGAAAAAAAAGCCTCACTGTGGAAGTTTTCCCAAGCATTGTATTATTTACTTTTCTATAAATGTTTACAATATTTACATTCTACCTTAGCTCTGGTTTATCAACAGTACTTTACAGAAATAATTGTCTTAAAATCAAGCAAGCAAATTCTTACTGCATTTCATTACTTGATGACTTCTTTGTCCTTGCCTTTTTGGTTAAGACCCAGACGATAGCACAAATGATAACAGCTGCCAGAATTGCTCCAATTAATGCTCCAGCAACAATATTACCATCAGAATCTGGGCAGAGGGAGAAGAAAATTTTAAAAAGATAAAGAAAGAATTACCTGAATTTTACAGCAAAATCCTATAGAAATTCAGTGGAGAAGCACTCAGTCTGACAGGCTAAAGGCTAAAATGTTCTTTGAGGAGACCAAAGATGCTCTAGGAAAGAGAGAACTGTGCTTTTATGATCTCCACTGCCTCTCTTCTTGATAGTTAGCTCCTTACCCCCAGAAAACCCCACGTTTATGACTCGGTAAGGAAAGTATTGGGCTGTTAACCTTGGCAGTAGTTGAAAAGCCTTTGCTCTTCAGTCTTTTCAAACAAATTCTGAAATGGAGGTTGTCTTTATCACTGTTGTTCAATTGAGATACAAAATGCATGCTCTGATTGTTTGTGAATACTGAAAACTTCTGTCTCCAGTACAGCTGCTAGCTCTGACTTACCATTTTCATTTTATAGACCGCTGAATGATTGAGCACCCATTTTGGGGACATATCTCATGGTTACTTATAGTAACCATGTAATTTACTGATTTACTGTTACTGGTTACATGAAAAATCTACACACAAATGTGGCTCTCCAATGCCCATGCTGTTTGTATTGCCAAAAATCTTCATTTTAAGGATATTACAGCATTTTTTCTGCAGCATACACATTGTGTAAGGGATTGCTTTCACTTACGCATTGAAGTTAGGTCGAGCTCACAAGTACTGTTCCCCATGATGTTGCTGGCTATGCATCGGTAATGTCCTGTTTCAAAGGTAGTGAGATTGCCAATGTACAGAATGCCAGTGTCTGGATCTGTGACGGGAGAGAACAGTTACAGCCTGCCATTCATATGCTTCAGAGGCAAATGGTTATCTATAACTGGTAATTCTAAGAACTGTTAAGAGGTGGAAAATATTATTCCTTCATTCATTCACTTTTTTAATAGTCTTTGAATCAAAAACTTATAGCTTCCTTAAAAATTACTACAGAGTAGACTCTGCAGGAGTGTATTAGAATGTGAGAAGTATGTCCTACAGTGCAAATACATCTGTAATACTCTGTAAATAGATAATATTGCCAGTATAATTTCATAAATGAAAAGATAATGAATACTGAAGACTTTCAGGATTGAGTTCTTAGCAACTGATTGACTATTTGACCTATTTTGAATGTATGTTCATTCAGACTTTCAAGGGAAGCAAGATGTAATGGTATAAATGTTTCTCCCATTTTAACAATTCAGTGTAATGGTATAGACTTCAACATGCCACATTTTTTATTAAAACAAATAGGAAAAAAAAGTAGAGAACAAACAGGTTAGGTCTTTGTGACAGCTATTGATCAATTTGAGTAAGCAAAAATAGGAATTTGTGGTATTGAGCATCAGAAGAGAAGGTATGTTTCACTGCCATGTGTGATACAAAAGGTGTGAAGTCCTAGCTGGTACTATGACAGCACTCCTGAGCGGTGTGGTAGTCCTGTAGTTACGTACTGAAGTGTTCAGTCACCAGCGTGAGGGTGTTCTCATCTACTTTGTACCAGCGGTAGGTGGGGTGAGGCAATCCTTGGTCACACTTGCATAAGAGGTAGATTAGATGGCCTTTTTCAGGCGTTCCTTCTATTTTGCAGAAAGGCTTTGAGGGTTTGACTGTAAAATAACAACAACAATGACAAATGAGTATACAGCCAGGGCTGCGGTTTCCACACTGAGACCTGTTCTTGTGCTGCTGCAGTAAAGAATTGAACCCCAGTTACGGAGTTCCACCTGAGAGCACAGGCTTGTTTATAGATCTAGCCAAGAGATCTATAAAGATTTGAGTAATACTAAACATACTAAAGGTATATACATAGCCTAGTACTATTAGTTAGTCTTCCTTCTACATGCTAAGTTGTATTATGGAGGTGATGAAAACTATCAACTAATGATGAGTCAGTCCCTGTTCATCATGAATAATTTTCTGCCACACAGCATCATTTCCTGTAGGGCCACAGGAGCTTTTCTATCTAAAAGGAGAGGGTCAAGCCTGATACTTCAGTGTCTTGTGGTTTGGAGGAAATACATTAAAAAATAAAAAATAAAAAAAGTTTGGATACTGCTTTCTCATTTTATACACAGAAGACATGCTTTTACTTAGAGCTATAATTTTTCATTTCCTACATCTAACATGCTGTTGTAGTTCTGTAGAGTGACATCAGTGAAACTATACAACCAATGAACACAGTGAAATTTTATGTGCATAAATGAATTTCTATTTGAATACTATGGTTTCTTAATTAATTGTTCTGAGATTTACTCTTTGGGGGATTTTAGATGAGGATTAGTAATTGTACTTTGAAAATGTGACTGTCAGAGATTGGATTTACATGTGTCTTTGTCTTATCCGTGGCAGATAGGTAAATCATATTGAGTTTGCTTGCGTACAGCTATGATTTGTAACTGTGATCAGGAATGAATTCTTAGTACAAAAGCAATGTTTAGATGGGGTTAGGGCAAACTTTTCTCTTACTAGGGAGGAAGACACCTCATTCCACTTCTTTTTCCATCTTCTGTGCAGCCTTCTGACAGCTGGTGTTTTCTTCAATTCAAAATAGATTTAATCGTATTTCCATTCAATACTGAGTTTCTAGAGCTTCTGGAGGACAGGGTGTCGTGGAACCCTTGGCTGTCCTGCTGCCTGTCCCACATTCACACAGGTCATCACAGCCGTTAGACCTCAGTCAGTGCTGGTCTTTGCTGGGCCTGGGTTATGCTGAAAGCAATGGCTTCCCAGGGGAGTTGTCACTTATGGCTAGAAGGGCTTCTTATTGTAATGAAACAGTATCCCTTCTTTTCCGACATCAAAAATCTAGTGAAGTTGGGTAGTTCCAGCTACCTGTTTAGGTAGCTTTTGGGGAGGATGAATATAAAGGCCTCTTGTGGGAGAATGGGATTTTACTGCAGGCCAAGTAAACACAGCTGCGAGTGGGATCAGACGAGACCTGCTTTGTCTGGAAGCTAGATGGCACCACAAGCTCTCTCTGCCTCCAAAGCCTCGGAGCAAAACTGCGTCAATACATAAATGAGCCCTTTTTCTGCATCATGGGCCTTGTTTATCACTTCTCTGCTGTTCCCCCTGCTGCTGTGACGTGAGCTCAGTTCTTGTAAAAAGGCAGGAAAAGTACAACACAGCAGCACAGAGGAGAGTTACTTACCCAGCACGTTGACAATCACTGATTTTTGACTCTGTCCAGCATCATCCTGGGGGCTGAAAACTTCACAGGTGTAGGAACCAGTGTCCGAGGGCTGCATGTTGGAGATCGTTATTGATGCGTTCCCTGGACTTGTCGAAGCTGTGATCCTGTCCTTAAACTCTCCATAGGAATAAGACTGTCCTTCTGAATAATAGTAGATCTGTGGTACAAAACAAGCTGTTAGTTTAATAACAAGAGAATTTACTGTCCCTTTGCTAGTGGTAACAGGACAGTGGTTGATTTCTCATTGAGTCAAACAAGGTGACCCCCCTTTCTTGCACCCTCCTCAGGAAAAGAGATGAAAACATGGTACATTTGATTATATATTTCTAATGTTTTTTATGGAGCAAGCTTTTCAGAACAGGGGTTATTTGAGTCATGTAAATGGACAGTAGCTGATTTTCTGTTCGTACTTAAGTCACAGATTGTATGTTTGCAGGAACAAAGGTGAGATCATTGATCATCATATGATAAAGCTGTAAAAATGCAATGTTATGCACAATTAATAGTGGCACTAATTAAAGCAGTGATCATTTGTGATATTGTTAATAAGCAGCTTAGTAGAAGATTATGACAGGAATGGACCTGTCATTGCAAAAAGTGGCTACAGAGCTTTCCAAATACAAAAGCTAGCAAACAGAGAACTGAATTCACCCAGCATAGGTCTAAGCAAACAAGATGCCTGATCTGTTTGCAGTAAATCTGAAAGCAATAAAAATGCAGTACAAGAACACCAAAAGAATAACCATACATGCTATTAGAGCAACCATGTGTTCTTCTTGTTTGTGTAATCAGGGTCGGAGCCAGTATCGTGACTTATCCTGATGGCTTTTTTGATGTTTTTTTTTTGAGTTTATACCATAGATGGGAGTCAAGAATAGCTGGTGGCTTCAGTGCTTGAAGTGATACCTATTTGAGATCAAGAATTTCCCCTTCTACTAACCAGTAGAAAACTTCTGCAGAGTTGTAGGCACAGTAAAGAGAAATGCCTCTAAGGAATGCTACTTTTCCTCCCTAACTATAATTTGCTCTTTAATGTTGACTGATTCCACAGACTTCGGTAGCATTAATTGTACTTAACAGCGCTGTGGGAATAGAATTGGATTTGTAAGCTTGGAAGACCACATCTGTTGATTGAGAGATAGTGTTCCTTGTGGAGACTGATATTTTGAGCCTTGGGCCTCAAGCCATGATACCTCATTTGCTCTAGAGTAAAAATAATAGTACTCAAGGAGTACATGCACAATCTCCTGATGAGTTTGCCCGTGAAACCGAGATCTGACAGAACAAAGCTTGGTACTGTGGAATTAATTGTTTTTTTCTCAGCTGTCAGTAGTAGCATTATATATAAGTGATAGTGCTTGGGATAAGCCATGTACTCCCCAGTGCACAAACTCCATTGTCTAGGCAAACTGAATGTTTCAAGGACACTCAGCCATTTTCTCACCAGTGGTAATCACACAGAATTACAGCTTGGTACTCAAATAGATCTAACATTTGTCCTACTGACAGTATTCCAAAATCAGCAGTGTAAATACATTTATTAAAGTTGGACTGACAATATGTTTATCATGGAAATAGTTGGAAAACACTTGTTGGAAAAAGCTTCACAAACTGGTGTAAAATATCATTCCCACTTGAGTGGTATCAAAGTTCTCTGTGGTCAAAGCTTCCTGCCAGTAGGGACACTGTAAATCCACAGTCAAGAAGTGTAATTTGCTTTACTTTGCAGATCAACTGATTGCATTTTGAATTAAGAATACTTACTCTTAATTCTATTTATCCACCCCGATAAAGTGTTGACTGAAATCTTTAAGCAATGTTATCTGGAAACCTTTATTAGCTTAAGGCAAGCTACACCCTAAAACTGCCAGAACATGGCTGGTGTATGCAATGATAAAGTTTTCAAATGAAGGTCAAAACACGGACTGCATAGGACCAACAGCCTCAGTTCTATAGCTTGGCCCCATCTCAAGTGCAGTTTGGTCCACTTTCCAACAAAGTTGATCTTTCCCAACTACAGAATTGCAAACACCAGGTACAATTGATGCAGGGCTCTGAATACCAAAGCTAAACTACTGTGTACACTAACAAAATGTGGGAAAGTGGTGTTTCAGGGGGGAAGGATAAGAGTTCTAATGCTAGCACAGCGCAGACTAGGTTAGAAAGTTTGCAAAACTGCTGGAGAGAATCTCCAGTTGCCATTTCTTGCATGCAAGACAATCTCTTTTAAAACTCACGTCATGCTTTGCCAATATCTAATGCAAAATTGAAGTCTGGATAAACACCCTAGTATTTAAGAAAGAGAGGCAGTTCAAAATTAGGAGTTTGCTTTAAACAAATCACTCATCAGAGAACAAATCTACCTGTAATTTAAAAAAGCCATTGGCCCCACTTCTCTTTTCCTGTTTATCCTAATACAAGTTGCAACCGAGTATTGAACACTGCCTGATTGATGAGTTTGAAATTATAAGAACTGCAACTTCTAATTTTAAGCTTCTGTTAAACTCCATAAATCTCAGCTATGATGGATTTGCTTCTCCTCAATCAATTATGTGGTGTCCTTTTCTGCACTGTAAGGGAAGGAGCTTCCAGCAGCTTCACACTACCATGAAACTAAGCTGTAAAATGGCTTAAATTTTAAGTATTGTGTGACTTGCAGCAGCTTGAGAGGAGAGGCAGGCCCACTATCTCATTTCATAGGGCTTTTCTATTGAAAAAAGGGCTAAATTCTCTTCAGTCTCCCTTAGAGTGATTGGTATTTATGTGAGACTAAACAGTAACAGAAACTTCCCGTTGCATGCCTGCTCAGCTACAGCACATGTTTCTGCTAAACAGGACTGGCACTGTGAGCTTAAATGCAGTCGGGGCATGCCAGTAAACATCACAGAAGCAAGTGCTGAGTGAGTGTGGTTTGCTTCATCTGAAGTCCGGATGAATTACATATCTAAGCCCTTATATAATGTGCTGCAAAATTAATCCTGTGTGGTCTTCTTTTCTGAATACATGCAAGGAAAATATTTTGTGTACACTATTAAGTCTGAAGCAAGTGTCCATACAGCAAAGAATATTTGTTTTCTTCATGGGTTTAAACCAAATCTTTCTGTTTTAGGATATTCTTAAACTATGAATATAAGCATAGTTGCACTTCATAAGGAAATGCACTCAGTTCCCCTGCAGGCTCCTGCCTATTCTCTATTCTTCTGCTGCTGTATGATGCTTATCATAATAGCCCTGGAGTCTATTGCTTGAAGGAAGGTGGTAAACACCAAAAAGGCTGAGTAATGTTGTGATTAATTACTGAGTGTATATCTTGTCCCAGAGGTAAGGTTGGATTGTGTACACAGGAAATTTCATTTGAGAGGAACATGCTTCAGTTCACTGGCTGTGAATGCATAGCCCATTTCAAACAATACACTCAAAATGAGTATTTCAAAGCCTTGTATCAAACGTTTTTATAGTGTTGTTTAAAAGCTTATGTTTGTACCTCTCAAAAAGCTGCAATAAAATACTCTTTAAAATGTATCCATTCCATTTAAAAAGTCAAAAACTTGTTTTCTGTTGAAGATACAGAAGACTTTTTTTTTTTTTTTTTTTTTTTTTTTTTTAACAACTGATGTCACTTCTGACAAACACACAGCTCATCAACATTTCTTTCCATTGTACCTAAAATGTTCCTGAAAAGTGTGTATGCAAAAAGTATCAGTAGAGTCAATGATAGTCTTTTGCTGGAGACCTTTTTGTAATGGTGTAATAGGTATGTTTAAAGTCCAGCATCTTGAATGTTAAAAAAAAATAATACTACTAATAAGGAAATCTTCTGTATTCTTCTGTATTCTCTGAAAAAAAATGAGCACTTTTTGTTCTTAAGCAAATAATGAGCAGCTCTAGTGAAGACAGTGATTTACCAGAGTATAAACAATATTGAGGATGTAGCAATGGTTCTTACTTCCAATTACCAGCTAGCTTGCCTATGCAAGTTTTTATAGAATGATGCCTTTTCACATGTCATGGGAGCAGCTGCCTGGGATGACTAATCAAAGAACTGACACACACACACACACACACACACAAAAGCCAAGATTATCACTCCTGAAATTGTTGTCTTTAATAACTCCACAGTCTGAAACTCCCATTTCTGCAAAACAGCTGAGCAGTTGGGAAATTCTCCTTGATCTTACAAAGGATTGCAGTTTGTTCTGTAAAACCTGTGGGCAAGGCTTTGCCTACCACCACTAGTATCAGCATCCACCCTGCCTGGATTTCTAAGGCAATGGCAGTTACTTTGCATTTCTCTGATACGTCCAGGATTCAGACTCATAGATTTCCAAAGCAGTTGAACTATTTGTGTTTGGGGAATATGAATTACAGAAAGAACAGGGAAGTGGAAATGATCATGTTAGTTGGGAAGAAAATCATGGTAACGTTCATGTTCTCCAGGTGCTGGGGACAAGATAATCTGTGGCCCAAATGCAGCAGGGTCTGGTGCCTGAACTCGTATGTTATTTTCTTTTACTTCAGCATGAGCTGTGGGAAGGGTGTTCCTCTTCTTGTGTGATGGTGAAGAAAGTACTTGCCTAAAGAGGAAGCAACTGGCAATGCTGATACTGAGTTGCAGCTTTTCAAAAGCTGCCAGATGTTTGGCAGAGAACAAGGAACCCACCTCCAGGTTTTCTTTATACAACTCCCCTAGAACAATCTGACTCCTTGGGGAGTGGAGATTTTTCTGATGTGAAAAATCAGACAGTGAATTAGAAAAAACACACCTCTGTCTGCTTCTGCTCTCTTTCTGGGGCTGCACAAACAGGTACTAAAATAGTGTAAATATGTCTTTCAAATATCTTTGGATGGACTAATTCACAATTTTCAATGCAGTATTCCTCCCATCTCCCCATCTGCTACTACCTTCACATCACATTGCTGTTTTGTCTAGTACATCCGGATGTCAAATCTGTAAAAAGAGGTACAGCTGAAGATGCATTACAAAATGTCCCCCCTTAATCTCCAAAGTAGCCTTGATTTCCTGACTGTGAAGCAGTCTGAGGACATGATGTCCATTCTAATACCTATCTTCTCACCCTCCAGCCCCTTCTTGCTTTCTCCCACCAGCAGATACAAAGCTCTAGCATCCTGTCTAATGACGTTTCCATCGCCTGGTGTATTCAGTGTCTCATTCTGATTCACAGTCCTTGCCTGGAGAGCTGTGAAGCTCAGGCATTCAGAAGCATTCAGGCCCTATCACTTTGTCATACCATTTTCTGTTTGGAGGTTTCTCAAGCAACCATAAAAAGAACTGTTGAATCCTTTCTTACCAATAAATGCAGAGGGAGGTATTAACAACTTTATCGGTTAGATACCATCATCTTCCTGAATTCTGAGTACAGACAGAATTTATAAAATAACAACATGGGAAAAAAAATGTGTTCAGCACTCCCTCAAGCATCTTACCATCTAATTAGAGAGCAAATGCTGCACACTCAAAGTGTTAATTAAAGCCCAAGGCTCAGATTCTGAATTTGGCAGATAAGAAAGCAAATCCCCACATACATACATTGGTTTCTTTGACATATGTCATGTGACTAAGTCTGGCCCCAAATGCCTTTTCTCATCCACAGCTTCTTTTTACATATTTGCATTGAAACTGATATTGCCCTTCTGCAGCAGAGATATTCTGCCCTATATTATTGGGAATTTTGCTTGAGTAATTAAAGATGCCTCTTGCTGCAGTTGCACATTGGAAGAAGAGTAAGGAATGAAGTCAGAAGCCTTAAAAGAATTGATCACCGAGCAGCTTTAATTGGCACAAAATACTCCTGGGGATCATCTCTTCCATGTTCTCACAATATCATTCTTGTGGCTGAACTATTAGTGAGAAATTCCTACAGTGTATCAAGCTCAAACGTGCTCTCATAGTGCTTTTGGTGTAACTGCTCTTTGGCAGTTATGAAGACCTCGATTTGCATTGGGCTGCACCCTGTGAGACAGGAATCCCACTCAGTCAAAGGATTTGGAAAGGATTAAGTCTGGGAGATGGCCAGCCAGTGGCTGGGATGAAGACACATCAGCAGGCAGCTTTGTGTTCCTCTCTGTACATCATTTTTCAAGATGTTACTTTCTAGAAAGGGGATCCAGGATGAACGTTTGTTTTTGCTATGTAAATATCTAGCTCCAAATTTGGGCCATTCAGACTTGCTCACATTCAACCCATGTGGACGTGTCAGTAAGATATGCTTTGGATAGAATACTCCTGAAGGATCGCATACAAATTCAGCCACATAGAATAGCTGGAGGAAAAAGAATCCAAAAAAGTTTTGATAGAGGAAAATGCAATAAAACGTAGCGTGAGTTAAGAACTCGGAATGGTGTGTCTGATTCAGCTCATCTCAGTCATGTGCTGGTTTTTGGATTTAAATATAGAGCGTGATTACAAGTTTTTATAGCAGTGTTAATGTAGCAGAAGCTGTTTAGATTTTTTTTTTCTTACGATTGCGGGGATTTTTTTCTTACCTTGTATCTCCAGCTACATCTTCCCCGCGCATCTGTCACATACACCATCTTTTGACATTGACTGATTGATTTTTCATCCATACTCAGAATACCATGACACGGGGAAGGCTGCATTTGAGCAAAAATGGGCTGGTCTGAGAGTTAAATGAGACTGTAAGTGTTCCCCCAAAGCGTAAGCACCTGGTTTCTGCACAGCCCCCAGAAGGCAGTGGTGCCACTCACAAGGGCAAGGTGCCCTCAGTACAGATTGGGATGCAACATCATCCTATTTCTGAGTTTTACCTACAACTGGGCAAACTAAAACTGAAGTCTAATATTTGCTCCAAACAAATGGATTGCAACCTGATCATTTGCCACTTGTTTCCACTTTCCGTGTTGTTCTGTTGCCTGCTTCAGAGGATCAGTTCATTCACCCCAGCACCAGGGAGAGCCGCAGGCAGTCACAGTGATCCCAGTGACACACAGGGAACTGCTTGACTGCTCTGACACTGACACTGACAAGGGGTCTTTGTTCCCCTTTTCACAATTAACTGAAGCTGTGCCTCTTACAAACAACAGTCCTTCATTTCTTTTACTGCTCTAGCGAACCTAGCATTTCCATCAGTACTACATAGTGGGCATAGCTTGGGCAGCCACATATCTCTTATAATTCCACTTTGACCGTGGGTGGCCCGGGCTGGAGGCTCAAGGTGTGAGCAGGTTGGGTTCAGGAGTTATATTTAGGTTTGCAAGGCTGCAGCCTCGCCTTTGCAAAGTCAACAGAAGTCTCAATCTTTCAAACATTTATTTAGCTGCTTTACACCGAGGCCAGCCAAATGACTCAGAGCATAACATGAAACACAGATGCAGACATTAGCAGAAGACCCTACCACAGGAAGCAGGCCAGGCTGTGGTGTACGCTGTTACCCTGGGTGAGCAGAACAAGGAGCTTTTACTTCAGGTTGTCCATAGGTAAGGTAGGGAGAGTTCAGTGTTTGGAAAGCGCAAGAGCCTTGGCTGGGTATTCTGACTTAAAAATTAAATTTATTATTAAAAAGACATATTGCTAAGGTGTAAATGGCAAGAGAAAGAAGTTAAAAATACACGTGGCATCCTATTTTCCATTTGTTGATATTTACATTATTTAGTTTCTTCACTGGAAAAACTTCTCAGCAGAATTAGGCTCCAATGAGCAAAAAGATTTCTATTCACACACTAAATATAGCTGCACTCTCTTAAAACCATCACAGTGAACACCTGCTATTCCTCTGCTTGCTGCCTCCCTTCTCACCGTACCGTCTGTGGTATCTCATCTCTCACGTGTAACTGCCACAGCTTTTAACTGCTGAGCACCTGTGCCAGCATCATGTAAGGTGGGCAAAGGGAGCAGGATGTGCAGACACCACAACAAAGAGCAAAGCACACCAGCCAGCTTTGTAGAGCAAGTGCTGGGAAGCACCAGGTCTGTGAACTCATGAGCAGCAGCAGTCTTGTCTTCAAGCAAGGTAGTATCTGCTGCTGAATACTTTCCTGCATTAAATTAACACTGTCACCAGTCCTTATTCCTCTCATTTGAGATAGAACTGTACTGGAGTTTACATATCTCAGCACGCTGCAAAATCTATAAGATGGCAGTGTTAAATACTAGCATTCCTTTTAAAAGAATACCTGTGGGCCTGGTACTTACTGTGTCCTAAAATCGAAGGCTCTAAGGCTCACCTTCGTTGATGTTACAAGCCAAAAGCATCTAAATGACATAAATTTGCCTTAATCCTAGCATTCATCAGACTTTCTTCTATTATGTGTTGCCACTGTAGAGAGAAATAGTCATATTCCCAATTATGTAAATAAACATTATTTATAGAAATGAAGATTTATTTTCCTTGTATTTCTTATGAAAAATGCCTCTTCCCCATTAATTCTGATTATACCAATCATGTGAATAATGGAGTCATCAAGACAGCTAACATTTAGTAACATGTTGGGAGTATTTAGAATTGTAGGAGGTGGATTAAGGAGTATTTTCTGTTGTTGTTTTTTGAAAATATGTAAGTTTCCTATCTTTAAAATATTTGGCAGAAATTCTCATCTGTAAAAAATGGAAATGTTATCCATTTTTATGTTGTTGTTGAAAAATGGCCAATTCTTAATGCAAGCAGAATTTTCTACAAACTTTTCAGGGAAAAAGGAATTTGTAAGGAAGTGTTTATTTATTGCTGACATTTTAGAGTAATCTTAATTATTATAATCTGGCTTAAAATGCAAGCTACTATTCTGGTAATTAGTAAACCATAGTGCCAGCACGTTTTTGTCAGCACATCAGCATATTGAATATAATTTTACCTTACATTTTAGTATTCTTTAAACAATGTAAGGCAAAGCTGGCAATCTCTCTTATTGTTGTGCATATATTTCCTGTTTGAGACAAACCATGAAATTTAACTTCAGCTGCATACTAAGCAGCCAGGGCAAAGCCAGGTTTGAAGAAACAGAGATTGTTTTTTAATTTCCCTAATTGAGTGTACTCCACAAGCAGTCACAATACTTTCTTACCAGTGTTTGTATTGACATGATGAATTTCCCTGTGAATAAGTTCCAAATGCAAAGGAATTACCACGTTCTTGTAAAAAGATATGACCAAAGGGCTGAGCAGGATGCTCAAAGCATTGTGAAGGAGCAGCACCCCAGTCCTGCAACTCTGCTCACACCTGCACACCAGCAGGCAGTGGGGGCTTTCTGGGTGCCTTGCTGAACGTATGAGTTGAGAATGGGCACTGCAGGTAATGGATGGTTTGCCTCTGTCTTCTTGGAGAATGGGCTTAGCCACTAACCCATCGCCTTTCCATTGTATTGACTCTATTTAACAAAATGCAGATCATCTGTTGCCAGTGTGCATGTACTACATTGCAAAAATGAACTTGCCATGAAATTTGTTTCAAACAGGGAGAAAAACATGTCATTTTTTCCCAGTAGTGATTCTTAAGCCCTTATAGGCACAGCTTTTCCAATGTCTTCAGTGGGAGCTGCTAAAACAGGGAGTACTGCAGAGACTGATCCACAAGGTTTCCCTGACAGTAGCCTCAGGTCAACTCTTGTTGAGCATTTTCTGAACCACCCACAGTATTTTACGATTACATTCCTCGGGGGATATTTTCTCACTGTTGGCCATAGTTTACAAGTTTTACCCTCCTGGTTCTCTTGACACTGTCTTCTATGCTCCCTCTGAAATACTTTGAGCTACAACGTGCTCTTTTTCCTCTGTTGTGACCAGAAATTTTTTTTTTTTTTTTTTTTTTTGTCTTGCAATAAAGAAAACTCAATGCAAGTAAACACAAAAACTTGAGCTGATTCTGGAGAATATGAGCTCAATCCTACCTTGGTGCTATACTTCCCTGAACATAAACTCCTGAACAAGTGACTACAGTTTATGATGCAATGTATTGGGTCAAAATTATAATATATTATACGACATACAACTTACTTGGGGAACGAAGCTACCACCATCTCATGAATAATTCTTTATTTAAGAAAACAGTTCTGACTTGAAAAAAGCTAATGATGAGTAACAGCTATTCATACAATTAGTCAGGGAAGGTGTGAATGCATCTGTCTGGCATTTAGCTAGAGTCAGAATTTGGGATGGGCTCACTGCTTGTACTTATCTCTGATACAGTCTTTATCTGTGGCTATGATATACTGCAGGAGGGTAAGCAGTTGTCTCAAATTGCTATTGCTGTTCAGTACTGTACATTCTGCAAATTACATGCAGTCTTATTCTGCTATGATTGGTAAACTGAATAGAAGGTGTAACTATCAGTGGTGGCAAATCTCCTAACATAATATTATTAACTATTAAACGTAACAGGAATATCATCAATGTGGATTGTGCCGGTCTTCTAAGTCAACTTTATATCAACTGTCAGGTGTTAACACCAAACAGGACTGAAATTTTAGTAGGAAAATGTTAGCAATAAGATGAGTACAGTGGAAAAGAAAAGGAATTATCTAAAACACACAAGCCTGAAACAAGAGCATGGGGAAAGTCACAGTCTTCAAGGATGCAGTAGCACTTCTATAGGCTTTTCTGCCTATAAGGGAAAATGTTGCTGAGAGCTCAGCACCTTCCTAGGTAAGCTAACAGTAACTCACAGCCGTCATGCTGTGTTGTGAGTGAGATTCATGGATTCATTTCCCAACAAAACATTGGATTTAGTCATAGCTCTTGAACTCTGGGCACTGTTGTGGCGTATAGGAAGTCACACACCCCATCACTGGTTCCTTCCACGCAGACCAAGTTGCTCTACAAGGCCTTCACAGCCCCATGGGAGGCTTGAGCAGTGGTTTAAGCATGAACCTGTATAGTTCACAGTGTCCCTCACTGTTCTGGTACTGTCTCCATGCTGACACTTCCTCCTACCATCCTGCAGGGAAGCACTTTTCAGCTCTGCTGCCTTTCAGGGCCTCAGGCAGTGCAGAAGCCTTTGATCCATGTTTGTTCTGCTACCACAGTGATGCTTGTGGGATGCTGCAGAACACTAACACAAGCTTGATGCGGCAGATTTCCTGCTAGCACAAATTCCTGTGGAATTCAGCCAAGCTATGACCGCTTGCTTTGCACAAATAGTCTGTTGTTTGGCACCACTCCATGCAGAGCTGCTGGGCAGTGGCAGTGGTGGCTGAGCCAGGAGCTTGTATCTGACCCTTGGTTGGGGAACACGTAGTCATAGGCAAGGGCGTCTCACTAGGAAAACAGCCCTCACAATAGAAGGAAATATCTGCCAGACAAGAGAAAAGGGAGCTGGCCTAGGGCAGGAGCACTTGTGTGATTGCTGGACACCTGGACTTGGCTCCCTGTCACGCTGACTGTGTGGTTTGGAGCAAGGCATTCAACATTCGAGTCCCTCTGGCACCTTCTCATAAGTTTCAGCAGGAGCTCAGGCCGCCAGGAGGAGCTCGGAGCCGAGGCTGACTTGGTGCTCTCTCCCAAATTTCATTGCAGCTCAATCTTAAATGCAGGGACATGGTGAAGGTAACAGCACAAACTGTAATAATTTTTAAAGAACTTTCTATTTGTGATAAATAAATATCTTACGGTGTGCAGTTGGCTCTCTTTGGCGCTGTAAAAGCTCCACTGGATGAAGAAGTTTCCCAGCGGCTGAGAACTCGTGTAGGTGCAGAGAAGGGTTGCGTTCCCGCCACTCTTGACGTTCACCGTCTTCTCAGGAACGGTCACCACAACTCCATGGACACGACCTGTGAGCAGTGAGCGCATGAGCGGAGAGCAGCGGGGCAGCCTGGGCGCTGCGTGGATGGCCCTGCTCCGCCAAAGGAACCTGGAGGTGTTTGTCACTCTGCTTTTAGTACAGCTCCCTTGGGCTTCCTGGGCATATGTCAGTGATAGCAAGCCCCCTTAAAACAAATATTGTTCTGGCAAAGCACAAAGCAGGCTTGCTCCCACATGCACAGACTTGCCTTCTCACTGGCAGCCTCCCTGCACTCAGCGCTCTCCTGAACCTGACGCTCTCATTCACAGCTGTCCCTAGGCCTCCTGTACACCTTTCTTGCCTTCTTTTTTTGTGCTTATTCCTCAGATATCTGATCTTTATTCATGGCTCGCCATCTGCTACCTTCTCGTATTCTTACATTGACTCTGACTCGGTGGCACTGTTGGCTTCTCCCAGGCTGAATCCCGGCAGATTTCCTCTATTTGCCTTTTGCTATTTCCTTTGAATCATAGAATCATTAAAGTTGGAAAAGACCACAAAGATCGTCTAGTCCAACCACCAGATCACCTCCAGAGATGGTGACTCTACCACCTCCCTGGGCAGCCTGTTCCAATGAATCACCACTCTCTGAGAAGAATTTTTTCCTAATATCTAACCTAAACCTCCCCTGGTGTAAATTAAGGCTGTTACATCTTGTTCTATCGCTGTTGCTGGGGATAATAGGCTGACTTCCACCTCACCACAACCTCCTTTGCTTTTTGTTTAGGTTTCTTATAGCTTCCTTGCAGAAGCCCTTTGTTTTCCAATATATTCACCTTGCAAATTTCAAACTGAGCTTTTTGGAAATGCTTTTATCATGTGAGTTGTGAGAAATTCTCTGGTAACCTGATCAACCCTTTCTGTCATTCTCTAAGCAGAAAAGGACTAAACATAATGGATGAACTCTTTTCTGTAATGTTCTCATCGGTCTTGGCTACAGAGCAGTGTTAACGACAGGAACTGAGCGATGTTCTACAGTATTTATCTGTTTCTGTCCTCTGTTCAAATTACTATAAATGGTGACCTAAGGCAAAAAAGCTAGAGCTGTCAGTTAAAATTGAAGTCTGAATGTTAGGACTTAGCTAGATGGCTGAGTCCAGTCTTAGGGCTACTGCCTAGAGATTCTGAAGGAGAATCTGTTCTGGACATGGTGGAAAATATATGTCGTTGGTGCTTTTTCTGATACAGTGGGCAAGGTGAGAAATTCATGTTGGCTAATTTTTGTGTAGGCAAAAATTATATTTGCCAGTGATAAAAGCAAAACATAGAAAACAACCTTCTCTTAATGGAATATTTGTGCCTTTTATGTTAGGGTGCTGCTTCTGAGAGTTTAAGCAGAACCTTCAGCAACATCAAAAAATATTTTACTCAAATTATCACCCATATGAGAAAAAACAGTGTAAGAAAGGAGGTTTGGTGGTTTTTTTTCATTTTTAACCATGTAAATATCGCAGATTCATCAGCTCTTGCAGTATGCAAGCCTATCTCAACCTAGAGTCTGAACTCTTCAAGAGTTAAAAGTTCACTGGAAAGAAGTCAGTAATCTACTTTCCATGGCAGTGGTGGCTAGGAGGAAAGCTAGCAGGCTCAAACTGCAGTGACATTTACATTAGATACGAAGACAGCCTCACAGGAGTGGCAGACTGATTCAAATCAGAGCGGATCCTGCCTTGGAGAAGGAGGGGATCCCAGTGCTATCTACAAGTCCTTCTTGTCATGTGAGTTCACAATACCTTAGTCCTTACTATAATCTAGTATGAAAGCCATACAGTATTATTTTAGATGTCTCAGCTCATTGATCTTGGCTTTAACAAGTCGGTCAGAAGATAATGGTTGCTTGCCACAATAATACTTGCAGTTACGTGCGTTTATTTTCTGTTCTTCATTGTAAAGGAGCTGCTGTCTTTCCACACAATGGCATTCTACTCAAAACTTCAATTTTCCTTTATCACTCTGATTCTAGAATCAAGAGTGCTACAGAGACCAGATATTTCCCAGGAGAAGTTAGCAGAAATGACTCCAGCTTCCTTAAGTGATTCCAGCTTCCATAAAGCTGCATGTTTTGAATAAACACATACAGCTTGCTTAGTTCTAAAGGCCAAAACCCATAAAACTTTCTTTGTCCAGCAAGGTTGTTAAACGCCACTACTAATTCTAAGATGGTGCTTTTGACTGAAAATGGAGCAGACTGGACCTGCCCAGCCTGTTCCACACCACGGAAGTTAATGAGAATTTGTCTTCGTGTTTAATCCACTGTTTCAAACTTATAATCCCATTTCATACATACAGGCCTTTTGATTGCAATGAAAAAAGGGCATGAGTAAGAAGTTACACATTACAAAAGGCAAGTGAGAACAGGGCATAACTTACTGTTAAAAATAGTCGGCCTGTATCTTTTACTCAACATTACTGTGAGAGTATTTCCTTGTTAAAGAAAAGTGGCTGCTGTTAATTGAGAATCATTCACTTTCATTGCAGACCCATGCAGTTCTTAATGTTAACAAAGCAAATACCGGTTGCTGATTTTTTCCTGACTGCCACAGAAGCCCTGTCAGTGATTTCCCTTGCTACAGCCACAGTGTTGGTCTTAAATCCAAACCCTTGAAATTAGAGCACATTGTCTGGCAAAATATTTGTACTAGTGCTGAATTTCTCTTCACTTTTAAGGCAAAAATCTGTGGGGTGAGAGCGATAGCACTGAAACACCACGAGCAACCATTTAAAATATTTATTTGGCTTCCAAACAGATAATTCCGTCTTGAAAAGAAAATGTTGGACACTAGCTTCCAATTTTTTTAGTGAAATTGGAGGCTATTCATTAGATTTAAAATGCCCACCTCTGTATATATTAAAAACAGAGCTTAGCCCAATACATTGTCTTTGAAACAGTAATAAAGTATTATCTTTAGTGTACCATATAGTTTCTAGATTCCATGAGGTATTACATCCTCACTTCATGGAATTCCAAAGGACTATTTGCATGCTTAAGATTAGCATCCCCCAAAAAGTTTTAAATGCGGTGGATGCAAGGCATCATTTCGCAGCATATTGTGAAGGGGAGACAAAAGGCGAATGTGAGAAAGCCAACCACGAAGGACCCAAGCGTTGTGTGTGTGAGCGCTTTGCCTCTTCTCAGCTCTAAAGCAAAGTATTAGTTTACCAAAGCTAAAATTCCGTTCTTGAGCAAAAAATTATTACCAGTTAGGGGTCATCCTGCTGATTTCGACAAAAGGACACGTCAGTGTAGCCATGATCTTCATTACATCTAGAAATAAGTCCTGAATGTTCTCCTAGTTTGCCAGTCAGGATCACCTGCTGTCTTACTGCAGCAAGTTCTTCTACTTTAGCGTTATTTCAATCAGTTTGTTTTTCTTACCTGCAAGGGTGGCTAGAATTGGAAATATCTTCAGCATCGTTGGAAACATCTTCTTGACGTTTGGAGAGAAAAGTGACCAGATGCAGCTTCTGGCTTCAACTAAAACTCATCTGTGTGGGCTTTTTTTTTCAAGTGGCTTTTTGTTTTTCTTATCAGCTGTGTATCAGCACGTCAGCGAGCTTTTTCATTCTCCTTTATCGCATGTATGCCTTTCTCCGACTAGTGGTGTGATTGTTCAGTTGAAACCACTTTGTGGGGTGAAAGCAAATGAGTGTTTTGTTAATAATAAACCTTTGAATCCGAGAAGCCCCGATGCTCCCACCTATACCTACTATGCCAGCAATATTTGCCCATGTAAATAGTCCTACTGAGCACAACAAAAGAATTTGTAGAGCTACATCTGATTACCAGCATTGCCAGTGGTCAGTGGGATTACCAGCATTGGAGTCATGCCTTGTATGAGTATGGAATAATCTTTATTTCCTGTTAATTATATCACATATTTTTGTAAAATGGGCATCTGAAGATAATACTTTGTTAGTACATTTCCATTTTTAGAAGTATTTCTCATACAGTGTCATACAGAATGATTACATTGAACTTATGATTGACTTGAAATTTCTGTACTGAATTCACAAAAAGATAACACACCAAAATAAAGAAATTTTTATATTTATATATATATTTATATAAAATAAAGGTAAAGCAAAACACAGTCTATCTTCTCAACAAACAATGCAGTTGGTTTCATCTGGTTTTAATCCTTGAAATTGGATGCTACTAATACAAATGACAAAGTGAATATATTGATTTTTATTTAAATCTTAATATCTGATATATGTAGTGAAAAAGCAGTGGATGAAGGTTAGAAATAATTACAGTAACTTACAGTAGATTAGTTTGCCCTTAATGAATGCAGAATACCATGTCCAGTTGTCTAAAGCTCGCGAGGAATACAGGGTGCTCAGGTGCTTGGAGAAGGCTGCTCTGCTTTCCATCTCATTTGATTGAAGCTGATTCAATGCCTGGTACTGAGATGGGAGTAGCTGGTTGTGCATGTGCAGCCACGTGGTAGTAGCTGAAGACATCACAGAGGGCAGCATTGCCTTTTAGATGTATTCCTGTACCTGCATGACCGAGACAATGAAAATGCCCTGAGACTTATTTCTGTGCTTGGTGAAAACATGGGCCAACCTTTCTATGGCAGGGACCATGCTGCAGAAGGGAATGGCGAGTTGTTTATTGGTCAGTTATCATTGGGCTCAGGCTTAAGGATTTAGGTGAATTTTATTCTTCCTACTACTTCTGTGGATGGCAGATCCCTGAATCACTCTATATAGATGTCAGGGTTTGATTGTATTTTGCATGAACCACCTCAAAAAGTTTCATGAAAGATGCCTTTTTCTTAGCTCTGTCAGTGCTTCTTTCAGTGTCCCCATAGGATAGGCAGCACGCGCCAGTTAGTGACACGGAGGATGGGACCTGGAACAGATTCATCTCTTGCCTTGGATGCACAGGAGATACAGCGTCTAGAGAGGAATATGTCAATTCAAAGCCTGAATATCAAATTCAGGTTTGTTCTAAATGTGAACAGTATTTAGATTGACCTTCTGTAAGGAAGTATGAAGGCATCCCAAAGTCACCTGGAATTCTCACTGGGTTAGCCAGCATCAGGCTGAAATGGAACTGCTGCTATCTACTCAGTGAGCCGCAGAAACTGGTTGTGAGTGTGGCCACACTGCAATAGCCAGTGGTAACTTTGTAGTATGCATGCACAAGCTCCTACTAGACAGAGCATTGATCCTTTCCAAAACCAGTAATTTTTAAGAAGGTGCACAAAATGTTGCCACCCAGCTGCAGGTCAGCACAAACCTGTGTGATCTTGTGCCTTTAGCACAATGTCAACATGTCCTCTGGTTGCCCCTTCATTTATCAACACTGTCTTTGTCTGGTGCTTAAAGCTCTCTCAGCTAATATATATTTTCTCCCTATTAAGCTCCCTTTTTATGAATTAAATCTCTAGAAGATGCCAACTACATTCCTGCAGGGTGACATGCTCAGTGTGAGCAGAGGCCTGGAGCCAGCAACGCAATGTCTGTGCTGCTACATGCCCAGCAAGGCCTGGGCTGCGGGCCCGAGACGGCTGCTTCTGGAGCAGTGTACCTCCTAGTGAATGATTACACCCCTCCATCCTGCTTTGCAGAGGATGCTGAGCACCAGTCGCATTCACTTTCGGCAGTTAGCAGCCCAGGGCTCATTTCACACCATCAGGTTGGAAGTGTGTATCCTCATGTGCATCGTGCAAGCTATCTGGGATTATGCTGCTGTGAGGGAAGCAGGAGGGGCCTGACGGCTGCTGCTTGTGTCTGGCTCAGTGCTGCTGGAGCAGTTCTGCCTGCCCAAATGCAACCTTAGGAGAAGAACAATGTAGAAAGCAAAATTTCCTTTGGTCTGATTGCAGCTGAAGTGACGGGATGATGTGGAAGCTTTTGTCACACTGCAGGTTGTCAGCCCAGAGCACAGCAACAGCAGTCACTTTGTCACAGGTGGAGCAAAGACTCTTATCTTGAGATAAAATGAACGGGGCTGGTACCAGGAACTATGTGTTAACAGACTTCATGACTCAAATCTATGTACACTGCAGTGTTCCCTTCCAAGCAACTCCCTTGTACTCACTCTATAAACAGAAGTGGTGCTCATTTGAAAAATGGAGCCCAGCAGCACACCTGGGAAAAGCAGCAAGCCTCTCTAGGCTGCATCACCTACACAGGCAATTAGATGGCTCTTAAGGGTTGCTTCTATTCCAATACCCAATTTAAAAAATTCTTGTAGAGTCCTGCCTTTAACTTGACTAATCTCAGCAGCACATCAAGCATGTGGTGTTTCTGAAACATGCTAAATGCATCATTGTTCAACAACACCAAATCCAGCAGAATGGGGTGTACAAAGCTCCCTGTTTCAACATCACATCTAGTTGCTGGAGATGCAGAGAATGTAATCAAAGATTTAAACAAATACAGTACAAGAGCCATCTTTAGCCTCTAAATCCATCATTAGGTTCACTTGCAAATGCACTTTATAGTTTTCTTGCTTATTTCACAGCCCTATTTGTTGTCTAAGAAGTATTTATAAAGTGCATTTGCTGGAGTGTTTGCTGCCTAAAAGGTCATTAACTCACTGTTATTTTCAGGCACTTGGAGAGCTATGAAGGTCTTGAACAGGGCCACATATAGAAACAGAACCCCACATCAAATACCTTTGCATTCACTGAACCCGATACCACCTGAATGCATATTCCAGCATCATGCAGAACAGTTGAATGCACATGCTCTGATTTTTTCAGCTTGGGCTCATTCTTGGCTGAGTTATACTTTCCCCTGAGTTCACCAGCCTATGAAATGACTGGGTCACCCTTAGAGCTGCTTTACTCTCCTGCTTCCAGGCATAGCTGAGCACTGCCTCCCTGCCAGGCCTTTTCCCAAGTGTTCATTCTTTTTGGTGTGTTCCAGGTAACCATTTCCTGGAGGAATCAGTGTGTGTGGGTGAAGCTGCTCCCACACCTGGTGCTGCAGTGTGGCTGCCCCCTGAGGAACCTGAATTTAGTGAGACTGCGTGGCCTTCTCTTTGCAAGAGGTGGAAATACAAATCCTATATGCCATTAATTATGTATTAGTGGCTGTACAGCTCCTTGTCCCTTCTCAGTTTGAGTTCTAGGGACCCCAGCAGCCTGGTTCTGCTCTCCTCTGGCTCTGTGGTGGTGGGATGAGACAGAGCACTTGCCTGGGCCCTCTCTGGGTATGGATTCCCTGAGGATGGACAGTGCTTTGGAGGTGCTGCACGACATGAATGTGAACGAGCCCATGGAAGCTGAGCTCTGCTTGCTTAGCACCTGGTTTTGATGCGACTTTTCCTTTTGGTTCCCAGGAGCATCGTGCTGAGAGAAGGTTGCATGTTTCATTGATTTTTGTTTTCAGAGAATGATATGATGCTTCCTATCCAGCTTTGTTAATCATCACATTATAGCTTTCTTAATTATCTTAATTACACTGAGCATGGCAGAATACAGTGGTGCCATGTGGTGAAGCTGTCTGACAGAGGATCAGCTGTCCTGGATATACAGACCATGCAGAAGACTGACAGAGACAAACATAAGAATATTTTTATCGTGTCTTTGGTTTTCTGGAAGTTCACCATCTCAGGGCTCAAGACTTGGATCCTGCAGCCCAGCAGCTTTGCTGTACAGCTTGCACTAGCAGCTCAAATTCCTTGCAAGCACTTGTTATCTTTTGATGGTCAAATAGGCAGTGAGTTTGCAAACTGGGGGGAAGTAATGAAAAATGAGACTGTCAGCAGCCAGTATGTCATGGGAGCAGCAAGGAGAGCAAGCAGTCAGTGACCTCATGTGAAAAACACATGAATGTTAATGGTGTGCAGGGTGTAACCTTTGCATAGCAGCTGTCTCACCCAGTGGCACACAGCAGTGTGATTCCAATGAACTATAAAAGTAGTGAGCACAGCTATGGCACAGCTGTGTCCCACCCTTCCTCGCAGCAGTAGGATTTGCAGCCCAACAAACACGTGCTGTCAGTAAAGAAAGCACTGATCCATGGCCATGGCTGAGGCTCAGTGCACATCACTGCTGGCCTTGTGCTGCAAGTCCTCTGACACAGAGCACATTTGGGTCCCACGCCGACAACTCTTCGCTCTTGCTTTTCTGTAATTAGTAAATGAATTAGTAAATTAGTAAACTGAAATGTTCTTGGAGCCTTTTGAAATATTGAAGAGCTTCTAATTCAATAAGCAGACAGGCCTCAGAAAGAAATAATGGCTTATTTCATGGACTTATTTCACCCATACCACTGATATGATTGGCATTTAACAAGCACCGACTCTTCATTCTGCCCTGAGACCCAGGTGAGTGCTGGAAGTCCACTCAGCATCCCTTCAGGCACTGTCTGTCCATCTCTACAAAAAACTTGTTTTCACTTTGCTGTGATTTTTGCACCAAGACTGTCAAATTTATCATCAGCCTTGAGATGATGTTTTCTC